CATCGTCCCAAGACCCCAATCTGGCATGCAGGGCTCTGCAAGGCTATGCCATGCACAACAGTAGAAGGACATTTCGGGTAGTTGTCAAGAGCAGCCAAGGATCCTCCAAAAGTTGCCAGGCGTACCTCTGACATTCAGTTTCCCCAGGCCACAAATAAGTCAGTCTTCCGGTGGCTAAGTTTCTGAATAGTTGTTATGCTGCTGCAGGTGCAAAATTTGAGGTTGTTGGCAGTGTCTTCGGCCTAGCATCTTCAGGAAAGACCCTGAAGATGCTTGATACTTGTGGCCGAATAGAACCGGAGGCTAAAACCGGTACCAAACATCGGTGGCATGGCTGTAGGTACATTTGGGAAGGTAGCAGTAGATTATCCAGCGTCTTCAACTTCACAGCGCAAATCGCTTACGAACATGTCAGCGAGTTCATGGACAGCTGGAGCAATCAAGTCACGGGCTTGGGCTTGGGCAATGTGAGCTCAAATCGCATGTGGCTCTCTCAGCAGATCATCCAAACTTCGAGGGAGGATCCCAGCACATGAGAGCCATTACAAAACCTGTGTTCTTGCCTGCTGGTAAGTCCTTGTCCTTGTGTGATAGCAGCGGTCAAGTCTTTTGGCCGTGCAAAACTCGAAATCACGCTACACTTACACCTTACACGTGACACACAGTTCTCCTGAACCAGATCGAAGTTCATGACATCCGTCATGACAGGCTTGGATATCTCATTCCACGAACGAGTGTGTGCAGACGGAGCAAGAGAGGAACCGATGGTGCTGCGTCAGTATTTGTGACTGGAGCAAAGCTGTGGAGGGTTAGCAAAGCTGTGGAGGGTTTGCAGTGCAGTCCATCTTCTTCTTCTTCTTCTTGTTGTTGTTGTTGTTGAGGATTTCTGATGATGCCTGAACGCTCTGCAGGACACGTTCCGCGGCTTGGGATGCGACCATGATGGGACGGATGCAGAAATCGCAAGGCCCACAGCCGTCAGGCCCAGGCTCCAGCTTGGAATCGACCGCCAAGGTCGGCGTCTTCAAATCGAAACTTCCAAGCGCATCCGCGAAGCATAGAGACGAACTTGAATCATGTAGCTGAGGAGCAGATCAATTTCGCCCGAGGTCCGGCCGTTTCTTCGAGAGGTCTTCGACAAGCTTGAGATCCGCACATTCCTCGATGTGCCCTGTGGAGACATGACGTGGATGCCTCGTGTCAACCTGACTGGCATCGAGTACATGGGTGTCTGACTTGATCTTCAGCAGGCATTCTTGATGTTTGCCATGAATGTGTAGGAGAGTTGTAGCAGGTCGTATCGAGTGTAGCGTGGGCCATGAAGGCCCAACCCAGGTGGCGACATTTCTCCATCTCTGGTGGCAAGCAACCTGCAGTCCTTCGCATCGGATGCCACCTTCGCCAACAGATTTGCCGTCTTTGACATTACTTGCATGGTCCCGCCCAAAGTAGACATGATCCATACCCGCGATGTCTTCATTCACCTCGATTCGAACTTGTCCATGCAGGCGTTGCGTAACTTCGAAAGGAGTGGCTCCAAGTATGTTGCGATCCCGCATTGGCCGTCATTGGATGGGTCTACGAACGAGTACCACCCAAAAGGACAGGCCTATCAAAACTATCATCGTTTCAATCTGGAGCTTCCTCCGTATTGTTTGCCATCACCGCTGTACTCGTCGCAGAACCTCGGAACTGACGGGCTGAATCTGCTCGGAGTGTGGGAGTTGCCCGCCTTGGGTCGCGGCACCCGCCCCGAGTGCAGCAAGCCACAGTAAGGTTGGCCCGGGCATTGCGCATGCTCGGGTTTTTAATTGTTTAGAATGGCTCGCAGACTATGCCGTTTAAACGGCGAAGATTTTGCACTGAGAGCATGAACATTTCATTCGGGAGACCTTCGACTTCCGGCCAAAATCCAAACTTGCGCAACGAATCCAAAGACTTCAGTTGGGTTCCTTTCCGCGCCATCCCGACCATTTTCTCTTCTTTTTTGATGGTTGAAGTGTTTTCATCGTTCTTCGAGCTGTGAGGCCCTGAACCAGCCCCAAAAAGACACTGGAAGACCGCATCCTGAGTGTAAGCTGAGTTCACGCACAAGCTGCAATCCAGGCCTTACAGGTGCAAGCTCGTTTTGGGTTTTGTGTGTTTTTGAGTGATTCACCGTTTTACATGCTTGTGCTGTCTCACTCAGCCAACTTCTAGTGACTAGTGTTATCGCTCCAGTGGCTTCTCTTGCCACTGCCATGCGCTCCTCCGTGGGTGTGCACCCTGTCATTTTTGGTGAACTACTGCTATATCTTCTATCTGATGACTGTCGTGCACCTCATTCCTGGTTGTCTTGCGACTTTGCAAGCTGCAGAGAGCACCTTATCGTTGTTAGTTTGACTTGGACTGCCTGGCCAGAGAAGATCAACACATTTTCGATGGTTCAAGGCCTGATGTTCCGGCATTGTGAGATTCGGCCACTGGTCAGGCCTGCAGAAGCATGCCTGGTTTGAGTTTCTGCATGTCTCGCAGCTTGTTGGTCCTGGTGTTTCTACTCTTGTTGAGGTCTGATCCTATATACGTCATTGTACTACCATTCTTATATGCTGCTGGTACTCCCAAAGCTATTCTGGCTGTTGGCAACGGGCCAGTTCCTGAGATTCATGGTGTCACCGTCGTCACTATCATCATGCGTCGAACGCGAAGGATGTGTTCTGCTTTTGCTTCTGTCGTGGCTGGTATCACGACCCATTGCAGTCGGCATTAGTTGAGAGATGGGTACCAGGGGCTACCATTCGAGGTGTTGCAGAAGTCCCAGAACCCAAGCCCCTCAAGTCGTACCGGGCACGGGACAAGCTCACAGAAAGACAACACAAGCAAGCCCAATCAATTCATCAAGCACAGCACGCCTACTAAACGTATTAGGACCGTTAGGACTTGGGGTCTCTTCCTCGGATTCGGTCGCATTAGCCAGTGCAGATTTCTTCGCTAACTCGGTGTGCAAGCAAGCAGTAATACTGTAATACCTGTATTTTTTTGAGCGCGGACGTGTCGTCGCATCTCCGTTCTCTGGTGGCTCGAAAGCCATCACCATCATACGGTGATGCTATATCTGGTCACTGAACCGATACTTGCCCACCCTGCCTACGCATGGCAGTCTTTTCTGCGGGTGGTCGACACAGAGTGGTCTTGACACTCCTGGCTGCTCCCGTCATCTTGACGGCAGGCACGGGGCTTTTTCGGGACAAAGCAGAACAAGCACAGTACTCAAATGATATGTGCAAAAGCTTGACACTACTGTAACCAGAACAGTTCCAGGGACCGCGCGCAGACGCGGGCAGAGCAAGTATGCGATCATGGATGATGAGCTTCGAAATAACATGCAAACCTGAGTCCTGCAGGTAGCAAGGTCAAGAACACTTTCTATGAAAATGACACGAAGCGGCATAACAGTACATGTATGGATACTACTTCAGGGCCTTCGGCCAGGCTCCCTCACCCTGACAACTTAAAACATTGCTGCTTCAGGCTTCCGCATGCCCCCAAAGTCAAAGCCAAACCCGTGCATTCGCCCATGCGCCAGCGCGCGTGCGCACGTGGGAAGTGGCTAGCTTGAGCACGTGGGCGGGGCGGGTTATTCCCGACGTGTCGTCATCCCAAGAACCTCCAATCATTCGCGCCGCCGACCGCATGAAGCCAGCATCACGAGAATATGACTCCGTTTCTCCTCCTTGGGGATGGAGAACCCCTTGAACATGTTCGTTTATGTTCATTAGGCATCATGTGGCTCCAGGCTTCAGGCTCAAAGACTTCGCGGAGTTGCCGCCGAAGTGTTGCAGCTTCGGCGTCCCAGGCCAGAGCCACCGGATCCATCACGTGGCATTGGCTTAGCTTCGCAAATCGCGTGTGCTCGGCATGCCCGTTCTGGGGACCGCGGAGCTAGATGCAGGGTCAGCGGCACCGGCGGCCGCGTGGTGATTGCAGCTAGCTGTTATGCAGAAGTTCTGCTGAAGAACGGATGCTCCACACGTAAACACGTGTGTTGGTCGACTTAAGGGCTACTGCTTCTCCCACCGACGGAGACAGATCGGCCGCAGTAAAAGGTTTCGCGCATCCGAGAGATGTGTGTTGACACCTGTAGTCGACGGGCAGGTGCAGGCACAAGTCCCAACTGCAGTCCAAAATAAGACTTTGTCTGGACTTGAGGGAGGGCCACGACCTTGATGGCCAAGCAGAGGGTTCCTGGGCAGAGAGGAGCCGCACTCTCCCGCTTCCAACCAAGTCTTGCTTTGGCAGATTGCAAACTTTCACATCTGGTTAGCACGCCTTTTGTTTGAGGTGTGTTCTTTTCGGGAAAGCCGGGAGGCAGACGGGCCGTGGTAGAAGGAGCACCCGAAGAAACATGTGCCAACACGAATTTTTGGTTTCGAGACTGCAGAAGGGCTTAACTGCAATCGCAAGGTTGGAAACTATTGAAGCAAGGCATGCACCTGGGTGGACTTGGGGTGGGGGGACAGGGAAGGCACAGGAGTGCGCACGCAAAAGCACGCTGTCAGCTTCCGGTGCCCCGACAGTCACGGCAGGTTAGCAGTGGCACTGCTGCGTGGTGGGGTGAGGTTGCAGATGCCGGAGACGTGCCAGACGAGGGCGCGGAGGGGGGAAATCCTACACATTGCGTTCTCCCACGGATGATGGCCATGCTGCTGTTCATCATAGTAGTGATAAGCAGGACAACAAAAACACGAGCAATGTGCAGAGAACAGGTCATATCGGCGGCGTTAGGTCCTTAGGTTCAGACGAGAAGCATCAGATAAGTAGGATTTAAATCAGGGCTTTGGGGATGCGAATAGTAGCAAACACCCGACTCCAGATGAATATTTTGAAGAACGGTGAACAGGGCTGCATAGTAGAACCCGTGGCGCAATCTTAGCCGGAAGTTTGCATTACATATGTATGAGAAGCCTAGGGCAATACCGATTTCAGGAACGAGAGCTGACAGACGGCCAGGTCAGACTTGGATGCAGGAACCGGAGAGCTGCAGCGCTTTGCAAGTCACCACGCGTGCTCCGATGCGAACTGCAATCTTCATGACCACCCACTGGAGAAGCTCTGTCCTTGTGAGCAGGATTTTTGGAGTTGAGTTCTTACACTGCGACGGTTGTGACGACTTCACAACTTCTTCGATAGTCAAATCAACATTGCATATTCCGCAGCGACCGACAGGTAAGCAGCACCAGTCGTTTTTGCCATGCTGGGAGACGGCGGTGCAGCAGTTGCCGCTTTTGCAAAATGCCGACCTGATTCTGTATACGTCAGCGAACCTCAGCAATGCTGATATGGAGCCCCTTCGTTTCAGAAATTTTTTTGTCAAGCACTACAAGAATCCAGGATATCAGCAGGGTGCCATGCAAGCCGTGATTCATGGCTTTGGTCCAAAGGGGCACATGGAGAAGTGGTTTGCTGGCTACGACTGGGTTGTGAGACTGAATCCAGACGTGTTGATTCTTCAGGATCAGTGGCTCCGTGAGACCATGGAGAACGCTTCGGTCGACGGCATTTTCGGGGAGTGCAAAGGTGGGCTGATCCAGACTGATTTTTTTGCAGTCCGCCCACAGGCCGTGGATTACACAAGGATGGACATGTGCCAGCAGTGGCCATATGCCGAGACGCACTTCCGCTGTGTTGTCCACAACATTCTCAAGTCCAGACGATACACATTGGTGGCTTGCCCGCACATGACAATGTAGCAGCGAGAGCCCGGAATTTGCAGCTATTCAGACCACCTCAGCTCTGTAGGCACTTTGTCCAAGAATACTTGATCGGACTGCCTTTGGCCCCCAGCATTTTGCAGCCCCCTTTAATCCCATATCCTGAACTTTCCTTCGCATCGTGCTCCTCAGAATCTAAGCAGGCATTCCATTTGTAGCCTTTATACTTTACACTGCATGCGGGGACGCTGGGCTTTCGGCAGCAAAGCAGTCTTTCATGTTTCAACATGTACGGTTGTGAAGATGAGGTCAAGGGTGGACAATCCGCGGAGTGCCACATAGTTGGGGGAAACTCGCCAATTGTGCACAACCACGCGTTTCTGAAGTGCTGCCCCGACTACCTGGCGAAGGCCAAAGCGGGTAAATGCCCAACATCTTCTGGAAAGCCATTCAATGAGAGCGCCGCCAGCGAAGATCTACCACCTTTCATGAGAGATCTGGCCCGAAAGCGGAACATCACCTTGCAGCTCGGCCAATATTGCTCACTAGTTGAGCAATTGCCATCCAAAAGTTCACAACATACCGTGCGAGAATCGAATCAACTTTTAGATAAGATTTTCTCCTTGTCGCACATGATACCCCAAAAAACAGTTTCGGGATCATGCTTCCTGCAGGGCCTCGGGGTCCATTCAGGATTCCGGCACAAGTCTTTAGGATGGATCGACTAGCCCGGTTCACGGATTCGGGGTCCATGGGGGGCTCTGCAAGTTCTCGTTTCCTGTGCTCGTTATGCTGACTGTGCACCGAGGTACACCAACAATGCTCCCGCTGATGTGGAGTTTGCTGAGGTCTGCAATTCTCTTTCGCATGCTGTTGATTGAATGTTTCGCTTGCTAGCTAGCAGAACAGTACCCTCGAATGCCAGACCTGCGGCCCGAACGTTTAGTTGCGGCAGATGCATAATTCCATCCAGAATCGAGTGAGCACGAAGGTCTTCCTCGTGTAAGGCTTACTTACTGTTCCTGCGGAAGGTGCAAAGAGATGCCAGTAGGGTTAAACAGGTCTTCAACATTGAGCGCTTGCATGGGGAAATGAGGCATTTTCCTGAGTATTTTCTACAACAGAATGCCTATGTGAGAGTGTAGGACAACACCTGAGGACATTTTGAGACCTAAATCAAGGTTCTGTGAGATTCAGCGGGTCGGACACCGTCGGGTTGCCGCACTTGCCGGTTTGGTGCCGCTGTCGTTCTCAAATCCTATCCTGACATTCCATTCAAGACATTGGTTTGAAGAGTCATTGTTGGTCATGCCCGTGCAGCATCTTTTAAGCAGGACTCCGGTTTTTATAACTTTACGGATCAAGGAGACATGTCGCAGGCTTCGAACCTAACGCGAAACAAAGACTTGGAGGAAGATGATTATGCTGGCTGGGGGTCGCGAACTTTGTTTTGCACTCTTCGTGGGACCCTTCGGCAGCTCAGCTGCTTCGAACCAAATTCAAGGTGCCAAGGTCGGGGGGTTTCAGGTTCAAAACTCATATGTCTTGCAGTTGGTAACTGCAGCAAGAACCAGTCCCCACCACGAGAACAAGCAGATGCCCTCACACGGTGCTAAACTGCTCCTTGGATCCAGGAGTCTTCGTCAAATGCCGAGACACTGTGAGCGCACACTGCGCAGCTCCGCGTGGAGTCAATCAACTTACTCTGTAGCTGTTTTGCTTTCCATGGCTTGACTGGCTTGCGAAACTGTGGGTGTCCGTCATGAAACCATCACTGAGGCATGCTGTTTGAGATAGCTGTGCTCCACCAACGAGACACTTCCGGTAGGAGTCTAGTCCTAAATTCGCAAGATGCGAAACTTGGGAAGAAATGCTGCAGCGTGTACTGCAGGTGTACAAATCAGCCGCTGATGCTGGGGGGTCATGTGGGAACGTTCGAACACCCCATGAAGACCCGGAGCCTGTCATGCTGAAGGCTCGATGCTGGGCTGACAAAATCCCAATTCCGGGATGCAATTATCGAATCCTGTCCTGCGAGAAGTAAGCCACGAGTTTCTAATGTCACCCGCAAACACTGTGAACCTGCGATGTAAAAACCCTTGCAATATCAGATATCCAGACTGCCCCAACCGACCGGTAAAGATCTGGGATAGAGGAGACGCACACCCTGAGCTCATAAGGTCAGGTCTGTGGTATCAGCGCATGCATAAGCGAGACTCGTTGGGTTGGTTGGGTTTGGTGCCTGTGCTTTGAGTTTCCAGCAGCAGGGAATGTTGCGGATAGAACACGGGGTTCATTGCTTGCAGCATGCTGGACAGGTTCTGATGCTTCTAAGCTCCAGATCTTCCATGCACTGATATTGTTGCAGTTGTGAAGTAAGCTGAAGCTTCCTTTGCTGGCCTGCCCTACAAGCCGATGTTTCCGGCATCAATGCTCCAAGTGTGCTTATCGTTCTCGAGCGAGAACGGAGCTCACTGCTTCCGCTTGGGTCATCAGCTGCCCGCACCCACCAAGCCACAAGAAGGATCGATCACCTAAGCCGTCCTTCCAGGATTATGGTGTCTTCTTGCTATAACAGTGTGTAACACTTCCAGTATCCGTGGGCAACAAGAAACCAGATCTGCTACAAATACGAAGAGGCCACATACCGAAAATGAGCTGATGCACAAGCTGCACTGCTTGATGTACCAATGGTCGATGTACGAAGCTGTGAGATATGTGGGCCGAGTTTCTTTCGGTATACCTCGTGCTATCACCATATTAGTACTAGTACATATCCGTTACAATGTCGTATGTGCCGCTTCCAGACGTAGGGATCGGGGTGCTGTAGATACTGGAAGATTGGCAATAGTTGCATGTCGGGCACTCGTACCTCTTCTGTGTATCTTCATCCTTTGCCGCCTGCGCCCTTCCCGTGCATCGTTGACCCAAAAACGATTCAGCTGCCATCCGATGATTTTCTATTCATGTCCTTTTCTAGCACTCGTGCTCCGCATCCAGTGCCACCCGGTTTTGTGGATGGCAGGCGCACAGTTGCATCAGGCCAGGATTCCAGGTGGCTGAGTCTTCCCGCAACCCCAAAGAAATTTCTGCTCGTCTCACCATCAAGTCCAAAAACCTGTGTTTATTCTAAACGTGCAACGTGGCCGCTCAGTGTCTGGCAATTTTGCCATTGCTCTTTCTGATGCTGCTACTGCATCTGCATCTGCCACTGCCACTGCCACGACCACCAGGCCCGACCCGTGGCCCTGGTCGAATCGGAGAGCTGATTTTGTTATATGTGGATTGAAGCAGTGCCAGGATCTGGTAGGCACCTTGCTCAATTTGTACAGACTCGCCATGGCCACCATGGCATCCATGGAGGAGTGCGGAGTGACGGGGCTTTAGACCGAGAAAGTTGTGTGTTCGTGATGGTGACACCTGCAAGCGCTACACCTCTGGTCACCAAGAGCAGCCACGTGATGTCAAATAACTTTTGTAGTTCGGGGTCATGTAACCAAGCTGAAGACACTTGCCTGTCGAGCGAGGAATGCTCGAACCCAGCTCATGTCATCCTCGCACGAGCAGGCAATGAAGAAGTTAACATATCAGACTTCACAACCTAGAACTCAAGACACTTTCAAGACCCCGCTTTACACTCTGCAGTCCGAAGCTTTGTGTCGGACGTTCTTCCGGGCGCTTTGCATTGACAGGACAGTGAACTCCTGGTTGCCACAGATCTCGAGGTGCCACGTTTCTTTCACCTAAAGTGCACGTCTGCCCCGTAAGCCTCCACCCACAGCCGTAGGGTCCTAAGTCTGGATTGTTCCGGAGATCGCCAAAGCTGATCTTCAGGCGCCCAGCGCCTCGGCTACCTCGGTCCAACCCGGCTCGGGGACCCCCGCCGAGCCAAGGGTGACTTCGGCGCTGGTTGCCACTTGACTGGTCGGGCTTTCGAGGGAACCTTTCTTTTGTGGCCGTCAGCCAAGTGGCGAAAGCTTTGACGTGGTCTGCGCAGCAGTTCGGCGGGCTGTGGAAGGTTGAGCCTGGGGGTGAGATTCCGTGGCTGGAAGCTTCGGGTGCAAGCTCGGGCTCTCACGACCTGCAGGTCGCGCGTGCGCAGGCGTGTTGTTCTGTTGGAGTGTAGTCAATGTTGCAAGTATCTACGTAGAGGCTCCTGCAGATGGATCCAGTTCAGTTAAAGCTGGGAAGAAACCTAGATTCGGCGGGACTCCCGAAATCTGAGTAGTGGGCTGTGCCACATCAAGTCAAGGTTGGCTTCATGGCTATGGCACTAGTGGCTGCTTCACTTCTCCTCATGGACCTCGAAGAAGAGCGCGAGGGGAAGGCTCGTTGGCGCTTGCTGCAGGCTGTGGGTGGAGGTCGGTGCTGAAGATAAATCTGGACACCTTAGAACTTCACACAAAGTGCCTGGGAATGCAGACTCCACCAGGTAGCGCCGTTGGATCCTGCTGGTTGAAGTGTGGTGCCGCTGTGGGCAAAGCCCTGCACTGGATTGGCACCTTCATCGCTCGGACCTTTGACAGCGTGGGCCGCTGCGTTCACTCCATCTTTGCCTCGCTGAACTCAGGCAAGCCGGGTCTTGGAAACCCCAGACGCCGTGCTTCCGGGGCTTTTGAGTAGCCTCGATTTCCTGATCTCAAACTGTACCCACAACACCCAATTAAAGAGTTTTGTCTCCCAGCTGGCGCTGAAAGAGGCTTTGGGGATTGCTGCGGGGCCGTTGGCCACCAACTGGGCCGATGTCCGGGCTGTGGAGGCGGGCGGGCCCTTCCAAATAAGGGCGCGGGGATTGTCTAAGAACAAAATAAATGATTCAGAGTTCCATTCAGTCACATAATTTCACGTGTCTTTGAGGAGCTCGAAGTTTCGTAAGAGGCACACATAAGTTTACGTAAGTGCCTAATCCGGAACCCTAAACCTCAGTGCTTTGAGCCCTTTATCGTAAACCTGTAGCAGCTTTCCCGCCCAAATGAAGCTTCCGAACATGCGAAGGGAAAGCTTACAGCCGAAGAACCTCAAACTACAACCCATGAAGCAGCTCACAATCGAAGAACCTATCCTATCCAACGTGGAGGATGGTGTTCTCATTGCTGGATGGCTTCCGGTCGATGTCTGGGCGGATGCTGCATGTCCGTGGGCAACCTGATCAACGGAATGCTGATGGTTCTTGGGTCATCTGTCTCTTCCTGCTGCGAGGTGTTGACGACTTTCTTTCAAAGCTTATGGTCAACCTGTGGACATTTTCTGAATGAAACGTGCCCTTTTTGATCGGCATATTTCTGGGCACTCAGTCAGCCAGTGCCAGCACCAGTTCTGGCACGGGCTTGCCCCTGCTTTCAGTTTCCCGGCTCAACTTTTGCTCCTTCTCTGCCTTCCTCCCTCCTTCATTCTTCGCTCCATTTACAGCTCATTCAACACCTCTCGATGCCACAGCGCGAAAGACCTCACTGCTTCAGAGCAAGCGGTGACGGCGAACGCAGATTCCGCGCGGTGGCTTTGAAGCACTCGGCTTTTGAAGCCAGCGTCACAGCACAACAAGATGACCGCCTTCGTTGTGATTTGTCGTCGGCTTCGAAGTGTTGGGAATCAGCAGACCGGGGCCGCGGCCGTTGTGCAGTGCAGTAGGAAGCGAGTCCCTGGCCCTTCAAGGTGGAAGAGTGTGATATGTTGCAGCAGAACGGGTTGCTTGCGTCATCTTGATGCTCAAGTCAGCGTAGAGATTCAAATTTGCCTGCTCTGCTGGTCTACTGCCAAGAGCCGCTTTCTGAGACGGGTCTCAAGCCGTGTGCAGCTGGTGCAAGCCATGTTCTCTTGATTCTGTAGAGGTTTGTCTTCTGTGGAAGACCGGTCGTGGATGTCAGTCGCACATCACCTGCCAGAAGCTGCGCAGAACATCTTGCACATCACTGCTGTTATGCCCCAGCACTAGCACTGATCTGAATCCCGATCTGCTGAACCGCAGAGGCACGGCCTTTCAGTTTGTTTACAGACTGGGTGCCTGTCTCCCACACGTTCTGCCCCGACCCGCGGAGATGTTATACATCCGACTTCAGACACCCTAAACTTTCAGCCACAGACCTTCGGTTGAAGGGCCTCACGCTCAGGTTTAGCAATCATGGCGGAGCTGCCCGTCGCCGTGTAGGGCCCTTACTTGGGGGGGGTTCAGGAAGTCGAGAAATTTCAGCGCTCACAGCTTTAATATGCTGCTTGTTCGAGGTCTAGAAAAACGAGCTCTTGAGCGGTGACAGGGTCACAAACAGTGTGGTTACGCCATGCGTTTTACTCGTGGCCACCGCCCGCGGCATTATACATTGCGCTGCACATGTTCGACGAATTTCCACGGTCCCGCTGCAGCCCGGTCCACCGGTAGCACCGATTCATTGCACTTGCGACCCGGGTCTCGTGCTGGACTATGGCGGGAGCACGAGTATCGCTCCCAAATGTGTGCGGGACTGCGGCCGGAGCGCCGCGAAGTAAAGTTAATTTGAAGCGGGCACACGAGGACGAAGGAGAATGTCCCTAAAGCTTTCTGAGAGTACGATTTCGGGAGGCGGACGTGGGACTGTGAAGACAGCGCAAGGTGAACTTCAGTTTCGATGTTCGTGGAACGGCAGGGGCGGGTCTCGAGCCAAGCCCCGAGCGAACAAACTGCACGCGACTGTGGGATCTGGAATGCTAGTGCTCTTGTACTGTTTGGGGACTAGCTGTCATAAATAATGGGTAGCTGGTGCTCCGAGACTTTGTTGCAATCGCTTCGACCAGCGCCTTGGGGCGGTCGGACACAATAGTCATAGGTTGCAAGGTCACGGCACGGCGCGGCTCTGGGGGTTTGGCCTAAATCCCTGAAGCTTCAGCCCTTAGCTTGTTGGCGAGTCGATCTCTTAGTTTGCAGGGCGGCCTAGAAGTGGAAGAAGGTGCGATGTGGACCATGGCCCTAGCAAGCATGCTTTTGTGTGCAGCCGGGCTTCTTCTGCGCAGAATTCGTATCTCGAGGGACACAATGTTCTCAAGCTCTATCCGTGAAGTGATAGCTGGACGACCTGTTGCAAACAAATCGCTGGCGCATGTGCAAGGACGACTGCGATCGACTTGGCAAGCCAGGGCATCAATGCGCAGGCAGACTCACGCAGCACCTCCGAACAGCCTCTGACTTCTGGTCTTGAAGTTTACCATGGAGCTACTCCCAGATCCTGCGAACGAGACCACGCAAAGTGCCAAGCAAAATAATTGCTCCAGGCCAAAGCCTAGGTCACAGGAAATACTCCAGCCCCTACTGCCTTGCAGATGCTCAACACTCAACTCCCGAGCCTTGAAAAGCCAGTGAACCCACGAACCTTATACCCATCACACAGACTCGAAACCCCCATGCTACCTTGGAGTACGGGATTACTGATATTGCTCCGTGGCCGACCCTCACCATCACCTCCGCTACCACTGATACTGCTTCTACTGGTACTGCTGCTGCTACTGCTGCTGCTGCTACTGCTGCTGCTGCGGCTACCGCTACTGCTACTGCTACTGCTACTGCTACTGCTGCTGCTTCTACTACGACTCCCACTGCTACTACTACTACTACTACTACTACTACTGCTACTGCTGCTGCTACTGCTACTGCTACTGCTACTGCTACTGCTACTGGCTACTGCTACTGCTACTGCTACTGCTACTGACTGCTACTACTGCTACTGCTAACTGCTGCTGCTGCTGCTTCTACTACGACTACTGCTACTACTACTACTACTACTACTACTGCTACTGCTGCTGCTACTGCTATGCTACTGCTACTGCTACTGCTATGCTACTGCTACTGCTACTGCTACTGCTACTGCTACTGCTACTGCTACTACTGCTACTGCTACTGCTACTGCTACTGCTACTACTACTGCTACTGCTACTGCTACTGCTACTACTACTGCTCTGCTGCTGCTACTGCTACTGCTACTGCCACCGCTACCGCTGCCGCTACCGCTAACGCTACGCTACTGCTACGCTACGCTACCTGCCCGCTACTACTACTACTACTACTACTACTACTACTACTACTACTACTACTACTACTACTACTACTACGCTACTGCTACTGCTACTGCTACTGCTACCGCTACCGCTACCGCTACCGCTACCGCTACCGCTACCGCTACCGCTACCGCTACCGCTACCGCTACCGCTACCGCTACCGCTACCGCTACCGCTACCGCTACTGCTACTGCTGCTGCTACTGCTACTGCTACTGCTGCCGCTACTGCTACTGCTACTGCTACTGCTACTGCCACTGCTACTGCTACTGCTACTGCTACTGCTGCTGTTACTACTACTGCTACTGCTACTGCTACTGCTGCTGCTGCTGCTACTGCTGCTGCTGCCCTCTGGATGCTTAGTGTCCCCGAACTTGATTTTTGAAGCAAGCCGGTCTTGGACCCAAACCGGCCCAAACGAGCGTAAACAACACGGAGATTGCCAACCGACGCATGCCGAGCTTACAGCTCCACCAGGCCTTCAAGTTCAACAGCTTGACCATGGAGCCACCTAGCTCAGTCAGAGTTTGCAGATCTGCTCGGGTTTTGGGCCCTGCAGGCGGGGACTACGGGATCTGTCATCAGGGTTCTTGAAGTTGAGGGCTCGGAGACTTCAAGCGTTTTGGGGCCTTCTTCGTCGGCCTCATTGTCTTTTCAGCGTCGCATCATAGTCTCACAGAGACTTGACGGTGTGTCGAGCAGAGACGGCAAGACCTCGTCGACACCGCCAGCAGGGCAGTTCCTGATTTGAAGCTTGGACACTCGAGGTCGGACAAGTACATTAGCATCAAGGACACCGCTGCGGACGGCGCGGCCCAGGCGCTGGACAAAAACCTTTGGCGGCGAGCAGTGCTTTTAGGTTTGGGGATTGTTTTGGGCACTGACGGCGACGGCTGGCAGGTGTATAGTTTGCCCTCCCTGTGAAGCAGGATCCCGCTGAAGACTCTACGCCCTTGTATTTGAGTGAGGATCCAGAATGAACAGCACAAATAAATAAATAAATAAATAAATAAATATATATATATATGCTTATGTACAAATATATATTGTGAATGCACCTTCTGTTGTACATGTACAGGTAGCCATGACCATGACATGCATGCTGTATTTGACTGTATTATATCCCGCTGCCGTTAGGGCCCTTGAGTCGTACTGAGATAGCTTCGCAGTCGGCGAAAAGATCTGACCAGTTCTCAAACTGGTAGCGGAGCAGGATCTTCCGGGACCTGTTTCTGCGTAGATCGCAGTAGCCTTAGCCTGTGCAAGGGGCCTGGGAGGGCCCGATCCTACCCGTGCGTACTCCCCCCTCAATCTTCAATTCTTGCGAACCTTCACCCAACAATGTCCGTGGCCGGTCTTAGGTACAATCGCTCCACGTATTCGAGTACTCCTTTGGAGACTCGCAGCGGGAACTACATCTATGATGGCACCCCCAGTACGTTTCACGACTGGGAGTTTAGGACCTCTATGAGGCTTAAACTGTATGAGGATGCCATCAGGAGCAAGGCCAAGAAGACCGTGGAGCCAGAAGAGGAAGGCAGTGACGGCGAGAGCCGCGTCGTGGAGCAGAGTCCGACTGCGGAGGCCACTGCCCCTGTACCTTCCGAGGACAGGCCCGACATGGATGTCACTGAGGCAGCAGCCGCAGCCTCTGATGGTGGATCTCAGAAGAGACCACCTGCACCGAAGTCGTCCGACTCGGTATCAGGACTGCCGATTGCAGACGAAATGTCATCCTATGCGGTTAAGGCAAGAACCGAAATGGTGCATAAAGTGCTAGAAGGACTTCGGGACGAAGCCTTCGAACTTGCTCGGGACATCGGTATCGAGTCCCTGACTGCCCCGGGAGGCCTCCGAGATTTCATCACCAAGTTGAGAAATGTCGTTTTCCCTCGTGCCACCGAAGAAGCTCGAGAGCTCTTCCGTGCGGGCCAGAAGCAGGGTGTCCTCGCACGCCAAGGCGGCGAGTCGATGCTGTCGTACGTCAGCCGGCGACGACGTTGGTGGAAACTGCTCAAAACCTTGGACGCCAGCATCGAGCTCTCTGAGCCGATGCGCGTAGAATTGCTACTGGAGCTTTCCGGATTGACTCGGCAAGAGTGCCTTGTCATTAAGGCATGCACAGCAGGCAACCGGAGTTTTGAAGCTGTTGCTGCTACCCTTGTGGAGCACTACAGTGGCGTTCACCTAAAGGAAGGTCGTTCCTTAGGTGGCGGTACCTTTCAGGACCGTCGACCGCAACACCACCCCGGTGCTCGACGTGGAAACCCTAAGGGCTACGGTAAAACTAGGTCTGAGGGTTTTAACCGTCGCGCCTACGTCGCCGAGGACGAGACGCAATACTACGACGAGGCGCCGCAGGACGATGGCGACGACGCCGAAGAATACGACGACACCTCGTACCCCGCTTATGGGGATGAGGCCGAGTACGATGCTCACTCCTACCCCGCCGGGGAGGAGGAGGAGGACCCGGGCTACGAGGAATTCGAGCTCGAAGAGGAAGAGGCAACTGCCCTGAACTGCCTCGAGGAGCTCGATCCCGAGGATGCAGACAGCGGCCATGTCATCCAATTGCAGCTTGCCGCAAACGCCGCGTTCGGTAAGGCGAAAGGGCGTAAGGGCAAGAGCCGAAAGGGAAAAGGAAAGGGTAAGGTAGTGCGATCACACCTTACACTCGACGAACGCCGCGAGAAGATGAAGAACCTGAAGGCGCGGTCGAAATGCCTCAGGTGTGGAGCTATTGGTCACTGGGCAGGTGACCCTGAGTGCAAATTCCCTACCGCTAAAGGAGGGAAAGGAAAGCCTCGGGCCCACATAGCAATTGTGGAGCCGCGACAGGACCCCGACGGGGGCCTGTACGTTCCCTCAGGGAACGATGTGGACCCTAGTGGCCACATGGTGCGGGATCTAAGCAAAGCTAGATCCAAGGCTACCCCATCACAACCATCTAGCTCAATGCAGATGGAGGGGGCCGACCGAAGATTTAATCTCGGTCAGCATAAGGGCCAGACTTACGAGGAGGTATCCCGTAAGACTGAGTTCGTGCGCTGGGCCCTCGTCCAGCCGAGCCCCGCCGCGCACCTTAAGGATTTCCTCACCTGGTTTAATCGATATTACGTCATTCAGCAGGGTGTAGGAGGTCAGTACTATCGCGAGACTCGTGCCTCGATAGGTATCCCTGAGGGAACCTATAACCCTCGCCCGAGGGGAAAGGGCGCGAAGAAGAAGACCCCACCGAATCCGCCTTTGGCGGAGAAGTGTAGCTCGTGCACGGAATTCTCCTATCAAGGAAGTTCCGCAAATTACGTCCGCAAGACTTGCAGGGATTGCGGCCATGTATCCCAGGAGAAGCGGGAACATGTGTACACCGTAGACCCCTCTGTATGCTCACACGAAGCAACAGACCATCGGGGTAGTTCGAGGACCACGTCCCGAACCTTCTGTAGAATGTGTGGCACTATCGTTGACGAAGTGCCGCAAGAGTTTCACCGAGAACGGAAGGCCGTCTCGGAGCGCATCTTGGAGGCGACAGACCTTGCACTTCCTTTGGTTCAAGCGGTTACCGCTGACGACGCAACCGCTGATCTCGACCCTGAGGCAGTGCTGCAGATCATGGGTTTGTACCAAGATCGCGTCAACCAGGCCATTGCATTGGAGGAACGGATTCACCCAACAGGGCTTCACTTGTGGCTCAAGGAAGCAATCACCATGGTAGTCGGGTCTAGTCCCATAAGTCCCTCCTGGGAGTTTGCCCCGACAGCAATGGTGGCCCGAGGGCGTAGCCCCGGGCGGAACAAGGGAAAGGGAAAGGCTAAACAGCCTGTCCCAGCCGTTCCTGCCTCAGAGCCAGATCCGGCTCCAGAGCCTGAACCAACTCCCAGCGTGCCGGAGTTGTACAACATTTCGGATCCCTTGGGGACCGATCCCGTCGTGTACAGTCGAGACCCGGACCTCGGTCGCGATTATCGAGAAGCTATTCTGCTGGAAGGCTTCCGGGCCGATGACGACCTGTACGACCCGTTCCCAGGTGGTTCGTCTGACGACGGATCACCAGGATCCTACAATGTTGCAGAGCTGGACGATTATATCGCCAGACAGGCTCAAGAGGATCTGGACGCAGCCTTTGAACAGGCGCGTCAGCAGACTCAGAATGACGCCGAAGCCGACAGCGCAACGCCTCCGGTTTCAGCGTCAGCGGCTCAGAACCGTCTGCAGGTGCGACACGTCCCAGGACGGGAGATCACGCAGCTGGACTTCCAAGCACGCCAGCGACAGGGAACCGAGCCGGTCCCTTGGTGGGAGGATCCAACAGAACGAGATCTGGACCTCCAGAATCTCCCACGGCATGATGCCTGGAGACGCAGGCGGGAACAGATCCTGGCGGAAGGTTTCGCCAGGAGGAGAGAGCTCGACGCGCAGAGGCGCGAGGAGGAGTACAGAGAGGCCTGCGCAAAGGCAGGACCTGAGTACATCCGCGCCAAGTGGAAGGCGGAAGCCTCCTCATCCTCTCCGAGGAATGCTCAGGCATCCTCGTCGTCGAGCCAAAACCAAAATATCCCTAAGGTCCCTAAACCAATCAAGCCGATCCCTAAGGAAAACCCTAAGGGTGGTTCTAGGGATAGGTCGGTTGGATGGGAGGCAGATGCTGCACAGGCCTATGTGCAAGCCGACGAGGAGCCTCGTGATCCTTATGTCACAAGGCCTAACCGCTTCACTGGACCCTCCCGGGCCAGTGCTTCCGCCTCTCGACAGGACCTGCCTAGCAGTGCGAGCTCAGCCTCGACCACAGCACCGGCGAGGACAATCGGGCAGGGAAAGGGACCAGGGATAGAGCCTAAACCTAGGTGGCTTAAGCGAGGTAAAGGTAGGGGAACCCCACCTTCAGAGCCAAGCCAACCTGCGCAACCCAAGGCCCTCTCTAAAGCAAAGGCTAAAGGAAAGGGGAATGGAAAACCTAAGGTCTTCCCTAGGAATATTGCAGGTGCAGGATCAGCTTCTGGTAGCGATCTAGTCCGAATTGACAACCTACCCCTGATAGACATGTGGGACCCACTAGAGGCCCACGTATGGGGTGCCCTCGACGAAGGTTGCAATTCCACCTGCCATAGTGCATCCTGGGGAGCACTAGCCGAGAAAAGACTTAAGGCGTTAGGCCTAAGTTTCCCTTGGGTTGATTCTAGGACAAAGTCGTTTGCGGGGTTAGGTGCAACATCTAACACCCTTGGAAAACGTCGTTTGCCATTCAGCATAACTAAGGGGGATACCACAATGGGCGGTGTACTAGAATCTCACGAAGTAGACACCTCTGCCCGAAACCCCTTGTTGCTGAGCCTCTTTGCCCAGAGTACCTTAGGACTCATTAAGGACATGAAGACATGTACCTGCATGATCCGCAACCGTGACAGATCGTTATCGAGGGTACCTCTTGCGAGGTGCTCAGAAACAGGGCTGTTACTACTTTGTCTAAGCGCATTCGAGGAAGACTTGCCAGCTTGCGTTAAGGCACTTAGGACCACCGAGCATAGGTCCATAGATAGAGTTAGGCCTGCAGTTAAGGCTTTGGTTGCGGAGGGTTCAGAAGCATACCCGGAGAGTGGTACCCCAAGGGGACCAATTGAAGGGCTGCTTCAGGAAGGTACCCATAAGGGACCTTCCCCAACAGCAATGGTCCTCGTGTCACCAGTACCTGATCACGAAGGACTGGTTAACGGTTGCTGCGTTGGCCCCGACTCCGTCCACTTCGACAGGGGAGCTGACTATACTTCACCGATATCACGATCTTGACTGGCGGAGCAAGATACCAGTTCGATGCCAAGGGC